TAAGTAATTAGTATTTACACCCAACTAAACAATTATGGATAAAAAAAAACAATTATGGATCGATTTGATTTTCTTATCATCTGAATTATAATAATACTTTTAGGGTTATTTAATCCCAAGATTTATCAAATTTATCATATGGAGAATAAGAATAAAATTTAGCATACAGAATTAATTTAATTTATCATATTGGAATTAAAAAAATAGCTAGTGGCTCTTGTAGCTTTTAAAATCTGAAGGACATAACGCATGACTTCTCACGATGTCTAAGAAACAAAACCTTCCCCGGTTCGGCCTAAACCGCCAGCCATCCAAATTATTCTCCACCGCTATTCCACGTGTGGCTTCCACACTCCTATTCCTATAGTCTGGCTTACTAAAATATCTATCACATCTTCGACGTAAATAATTGACCACGTGAAGTCGTGAATATATCCATAAATCAAACTTGACAAACTAACAAAAACTACAACCTCAAAAATTTCACACATTCCTACTCTTTTGGTGTTTCATTATCCGGTTTTGTCCTAATATAATTGAACTGGTAAACATGTTATCCGTTTGATTATTTGGTTTTGTTAGATTTTAAAATCCCACACTTTTATATTTTTGTTCTATATGGCTTTTAGATTGATTAATTTGTTGCTATTAGTTTTCTAATAAAATTAAGCTTACATATTTGAAGATATGATTTCATATGATAGGTTGATTCTTTTTTTTTTTTTTTTTTTAAGTAGGAATGCCGTCAATCTTTTGTCCTCAAAGTCTTTCAAAAACAGTTGTTAGCTAAAAACATTTATGATTTACATATGATTCATTAAAAAAAAAAAATTGTGTTGAACAATATCCAACGGAAAATTTGTGTTGAACAGATCCTTGAACAGGTAATTTCCCCTTATCAATCTGCATTTATGCCTGGGAAACTGCTTGCAGAGAATGTTCTTCTTGCAACAGATGTTGTTCAAGGCTACAATAGAAAAAATATTGAGCCACGAGGTATGTTGAAAGTGGATATAAGAAAAGCTTTTGATTCTGTTGGATGGGACTTCATCTTGTCTGCTTTGCGTGCCATGAGTATTCCGGAGAAGTTTGTAAAATAGATTGAAGAATGCATCACCACTCCGTCTTTCTCAGTTTGTTTAAATGGTAATTCCTCAAGTTTTTTCACTAGCACCAAGAGACTGAGGCAAGGAGACCCAATTTCTCCCTATCTTTTTGTCTTGGCCATGGAGGTATTCTCGAAACTCCTTCACTCCAGATTTGAACAAGGTTACATTCACTATCATCCGAAAACATCAGGTATTGCTCTCTCTCACTTGATGTTTGCGGATGATATCATGGTGTTTTTTGATGGGAGTGAAGCTTCTTTGCATGGAATTAATGAGGCCTTAGACGACTTTGCATCATGGTCTGGGCTCCACATGAGTAGGGAGAAAACACAACTTTTCCATGCTGGTTTATCTCATCTTGATTGTGCAGCAATTCAAAGGCATGGTTTTCCTATTGGATCTCTTCTTATTCGATACCTCGGGTTACCTCTCATGCATAGGAAGCTAAGAGCCTCAGAGTTTGAGCCTCTTATTCAGAAAGTGGCTTGCGGATTCAAGAGCTGGGCAGTCAAAATGTTGTCTGATGCTGGAAGAGCTCAGTTGATTGCGTCGGTAATCTCAGGGACAATCAACTTCTGGATTTCTACTTTTATGCTTCCTCGTGGCTGCATTAAAAAGCTTGAATCTTTATGTTCTAGGTTCTTATGGTCTGGAAAAATTGATGGCGGTAAAAGAGCTAAAAAAGTATCTTGGTCTTCAGTTTGTTTACCAAAAAAAGGAGGGTGGCTTAGGCCTGCGGAGGTTAAAAGACTGGAACACCACTTTGTGCCTTAAATTCATCTGGCTTTTTTTTCGGATAATGTTCTCTTTGGAGTAGATTGAACCACCATCATAACATAAAGAATAGTAGCTTCTGGGAGCTAAAGGAAAAACACACTGATTCTTGGACATGGAAATCTTTGCTACGGCTGAGATCTATTGCTCAAGTTTTTGTGAAAGCTGAGGTGGGTAATGGTAAGAGAACAAGCTTCTGGTTTGACTCATGGACTCCCATAGGGCCATTAATCAATTGCTTTGGCGAAGATGGGCCAAGAACTCTGAGATTGCCTTTGTCTTCTAAGGTAAAGGATGCTTGCAATGCTGCTGGTTGAACTTTTCACATCGCAGATCTGATTTAGCTTTAAATCTGCACGCTCACCTAACAACCGTTCAGCCTCCTGCTCCTTCCGCCTCTCAAGATGTGTTTTTTTGGACTGCAAACTCCTTCAAATGCAAAGGTTTCTCTGCGAAGCTGACTTGGGAAGTGTTGAGGCCACGCAAGCAAGAAACAGATTGGAGCTCAGTGTTTTGGTTCAAAGGAGCAATCCCTCGGCACGCTTTTAACATGTGGCTATCTCATTTGAACAGGTTGCCTACAAAGCAGAGGATGTTTTCTTGGGGTATCTCCTCTAGCTCAGCTTACTCCTTTTGTTCGTTAGCGACGGAATCGAGGGACCACCTGCTACTCTCTTGTAGCTATTCGCAGGAAATCTGGAGGCTGGTCCTTGATCGCCTTGATCCTTCTAGAAGGAGCTTTTTCTCTTGGGCTGAGCTCCTCTCTTGGCACGAGCTTCGACAACATCAGCACCTACCACTCTAAGGAAGATTGTAGCTCAAACGGTTATCTATCACACATGGCGGCAGAGGAATAATGTGGTCCACAATCAGATTTCTATTCCTCCGGATATCATCTTCAAGAGCATTGATCGATTAACAAGAAACATAATCACCGCAAGGCATAAGCGCAAACGATTTCTCAACTTGATGCAACTTTGGATACGATGAAACTCTTTCATCTAGTTTCCTAATTGTTTTGTCTCCTTGTTTTATTTTTTTTCCAAGGATTCAAATCCAAAGGCTCCTACTTTGTAAAGCCAAACCTTTTCATTTTCAATGATATTAACATTCATAGCAAAAAAAAAAACAATATCCAACGAAAATAACGTAGGTTAGCATGAAGTACGTTTATGTTAACACAGTGATATTCGCCATTAAAAATTAATAATGCCACATATAAAGTGCTAATGAAGCCATTTATGCATATTATGGTTATTAGATGTCTACCTGTTATGAGTAATTTCCTCGGTTTAATTGGTTGAGTTCTTATTCGAATCCTCTTCAATGGAGGCTCTAAGCAGGAGTTCTTAGCATTAATTCGGTAAAAAATAAATAAAAAAATGACTTAAAACACAAGAACCGGCTCTTAATGAAGAGTGTTAAGATCACCATTATCAATAGGCTCTTAAGACCATCTTTATCAATGGGTTAAGGGGGTGTTATTGGTTGTATAAGTTGAAGTCAATTCCATTAGAATTAGAGTTTATCAGATTTTAAAACATATGGGCTCATTGAAAATGAATCATTATTCATTTTATTAAATATGTGGAAGTGTATTATCAATGATACATGATTTCATTTGGTTTTCTGTAACAGAACTGAATTCTATAACAAATGATTGTTATAATCTAATCGAAATCTGGCCAAACTTTTGTCCATCTTTTTTCTTCTTCTTATTTCATGCTTTTCTAAAGTTATTACAAAATCTTGTTACTAGCTATGAGTATAATGTCTTTAGTAAAGAAATTAAAAAAAAAATGATGAAGAGAGATATACTATAATCACCGTATGTAAATTCTTATAAATAGACGTGAAAAGAGAAAAAAATGGGGTTTTGGTTATTCTCATATGATTGTGAAAATCTCAGGGTAGAAGGTAAGATTTTGATTTCTATAATTTACACATGAAATCAGTTTCAGATTCATTCAAATCTTTTCAAATCAAATCATTTGTGAAAATCTATTAAACATGAATAACACAGAACTTTAATTGATCATTGTAAATATGAGAACCAATAACACTAGATTTTAAACTCTTTTAATATAGACATTAGAAATATGAGAACCAATAACACTTGATTTTAAACTCTTTTAATGAAGATATTATAAATATAAGAACCAATAACACTTGATTTGAATAAAGAAGTTAAGATCCACTAACCAATAACATTAGATTTGGGTTAGAGTTAGACTCTATTAAAATCCATTAACCAATAACACCACCTTAGTAATTTTTTACTTACAGCCAAAAAGAGGTAAATCTTAACTTTGGTTCTTAGTAATAATACTAAAAAATTACTAAGATCATCTTAAGATTTTCTTAAGAACCCATTGATAAAGATGGTCTAAGACAACTTAACTTAAGAAATATGTTAAGTTAAGAGAGACCCTATTGATAATGGTGTTCTAAGAACTTTTAAGAACCGCAGACATGTCGCTGAGTGATTGGTTGGCGTTTTTTTTACACGGAAGATTTTTCATCGACTCTCTCTTTTCATTATCGGAAACTCGTCTTTGAGCCGCCGAGGGCGACTTCATCTCCACCGATGGCGACTTCAGTTCACCATAATCAGAGTCAAGAGAGTTTGGCAAATCTCCAAAACCCTAAAAACTCCAGAAAATATCCCAAATTTCGACTTCCTATTTTCGTATTTCAACGATCTGAGTCTCTCTCGTGTTTAATTTGTTTCCCAATATGGTTTAGAATTTGTGATCTAAATGGAAGCTGAATCGTGCTTTGGTCCTACTTTTACTCGTTTTCACTGTTTCTCCTTTAGCTTCTGGCAAAATTATATTGATGAGTAACAACGTCACTCTCTCTTTTGACGACATCGAAGCTAATTTCGGTGAGTTTCTTCATTATCACTCTGTTTTCATATGCATCGATTCAGATTTTGGATGAATTTTAGAAATTTCTGACTATGTAATTGGGTCAACGCATAAAAAAGAAGCGATTTTTAATCTGTTTCTTGCAAATTTGGCAACTCACATGTGAAATTGGAGTAGTTTATGCTGCTGAGCCTCTTGACGCTTGTCAAAAGCTTATATAAACCAGAACTGAGTTCAAATGGAACTTCCCCTTTTGTGTTGATCGTTAGAGGCGGTTTTATAGCTGCCATTATCTATGACAATGAAGACCGTAGAACATTGATAGCAAGTATGAACCATTGTTATCTTGATCCTATGATTATAATGTCTGCTGGTCTTGATTTGCAGTGGCATAAGAAGGCGGACATCTAGGTCCTCTCGAGTCCGTGAGTTCCATGGTATGAGCCGGCGATTGGTGAAAGCATTGCCAAGTCTTATATTCAGTTCGTTTCATGAAGACAACATTTACTGCATTCACTTACACTATTTGCCTCAAAGACTACACTGTCGGAGACAAGCAGATATCTTGCACAAAGACCTGCAACGATGTTCCGTAATCGACTTTGTGTTGATGGAGGCTTGACATTGTTTATGCCACCAACAGCTGCTGCTAAAACAGTATGGTCACAATTATTGTGTTGTTCTGTTCTCATTCTCTCTTTCTAATGCGTCTGCTCCTTCAGAGTGTGTGGCCTTTTCAAAAATTTGGAAGCCCTCTCATATGTTCATCCATCTTGACTTCTGAAGATGTTCCATGGAGCTTAATGAACTTATCGTATTAATCTTTCACAGGTTCGAGTTTGTGCTTTTTCCGCGGGTAACTTCAAACTAAAGGGTATTGAGATCTGCCCAGATTGCAACCCTTTAAACAGGGCAACATCTAGACAAGTAAGTGCTCGGTTTCTTCTAATGAAATCATTCTCATTTTAAGAGTAAGTGTGTTAATTAGTACTATAGATTCTGATAGTTTTCCAGAAGCTGGCTTTAAAGTCACAAAAAGTTGTACTTCTTAGATCAAACAAAGCAAATGGTACATCACTTTTACTTGGAGTTCTTATACTTGTAACTTGTTCATCAAAAAAACATGTGCTTCGAGGAGTCGCTATTAGGACCAAAGAATTCTTAATAGAGTTTGTCCACAAATTATTCAAACATTTCTCTTATTACCCATTTCTTATTTAGCATGGACCATAATGACTTAAACATATGTCTCCATATGTAATTTAAGTTTACATCAACCACATAACCATGACTTGAATCCATATCTTTTTTTTCTCCATCTCCATGACTTGAATCCATATCTTCTTTTTCTCCACAAAACCAAAACACATTAATTAGATCAAGCGTTTTAATAACCAAAACACATAAATTTTTTAACCAAAACACTCATACACAAAGTTTCAAAAATTTAAATTTTAAGAACCTCATTAGAAATTCTACCATTGGAGTAGGTCAAAAATAAAAATTCATGAGGGTATCTAAACTTTTGATTATACAATATTTAAATTATAAATATGGTTAAGAACCCATGAGGGATTCTTAACCATTGGAGATGCTCTTAGCTCTTAGATTCTGAGTTCTTATTAATTTCTTGAAAAGTTTGTTTTTATCATGTGGAGCTCTCAGCTTCTAGATCGATGAGACAGACTTCTTCGATGTTCACTGTAGAATAGATGGAACTCTCTGCTTCTGTGTTCATTGCAGACTTCATCGCGGTTAGTTGGTTCTCTTCTTTCAAATGATTTGCATTTTACTTCTTGCTACTTGATAGAATTAATAACTCTAGCTGCAAAAGTAAATTTATAAATTAAATAAACTTATCAAAGTTGATTGAGTGAACGTTCCAACCACTAAAGTTGGAACTTATAAGCAACTAAGAATAATAATACCAAGGTCAACTTGAGTTTTCGATGCATAAAATAGTACGAAACACTAAACAATAACGGAAACGTTAGTCAAAGTCATGAAGACAGCAATGGATGAATACGCTATCTCAATTTGTTCGTTTAAGATGAATTGTTATAATTCTTTAATGGATTGACAAGGACAAGTTTATAATATTCGAACGAAGACCAAACTTGCTTGCTACTTTAATATTATTTCCTCTGTGTTCATTAGTTCTAACGTTTGTGTTTGGATTCCTTCTTCTTTCCATTTTTATCTTCTCTTGTTTCTTCTCCTCAAACATTGAAAACAAAATGGGAAACAATGTATCCCTAGTTTTAAGGACTTTCTCTCCTTTATTGGCTGAGCATGCAAATTATATATTTGGACTTGAGGATAACATGGAGGCTTTGAAAACCGCTATCGTAGATCTCGAGGCAATGAGTCATGATGTGCAGACTGAAGTTAACATACAAAAGGGACAAGGTTTGCAACCGCTAAATGAAGTCCTACTATGGCTTGCACGGGTGGAAGCCATAGGACCGCAGGTTCTTCTTCTGCTTGAAGGTAGCTCTGTCCAACTTCAAAGATTGTGTATGTATGGAATTTGTTTCAACGATTTTGGATTTACCTATTCTTATGGAAAAATTGTTTCGAATTTGTTGAAAAGAGTTGTACGTCTTTTGTCTACAAGACCTATTAAAGAAGTGGCTAGGAGGGGTTTTCCGCCTCAAATAGAGGTGGGACCCCCCCGAAGCACAATCGGGTTAGAGAAAATGCTTGAATCAACATGGGAATGTCTCATGAAAGAAGAAGTTGGAATTTTGGGTCTTTATGGTATGGGTGGCGTAGGCAAAACCACCCTACTTGATCAGATCAACAATAAGTTCAATGAAAAAAGGGATGACTTTTATGTGATATCTGTAGTGGTATCTCAAGATCTACAGATTGGAAGGATCCAAAACGAGATCGGGAAAAGACTAGGCCTCCATAACATGGAGTTCGATCAAAAAACCAAGAAACAGAAAGCCTCTGATATATATACGGTCCTTGCAAGGAAGAGATTTGTGATGCTTTTAGATGACATATGGAGCAAAGTGGATTTAGTAGATATTGGAATTCCATTACCAAGTGAAGATAATAGAAGCAAAGTTGTCTTTACCACTCGGTCGAAACTGGTTTGCGGGCGTATGAGAGCTGATGTTGACATAGAAGTCAAATGTCTAGATACTGAAAACGCATGGAAACTATTCGAGCAGAGAGTTAGAGTTAGCACACTAGAAAGCGATCCAAAGATCCCCAAGCTAGCAAGAATAGTTTGTGAAAAATGTAAAGGCTTACCCCTTGCACTCACCGTTATTGGCGAAACGATGGCATGCAAAAAGACAGTACGCGACTGGCAGCATGCGATTGATGTTCTAACTTCAAATGCGGCTGATTATCCTGAAGTTAAAGATGAGGTTCTTAAAATTCTTAAGTTCAGCTATGATGATCTTAAGAATGAGAGAGTACAACAATGTTTCCAGTATTGCGCTTTATTTCCAGAAGACACTGAAATAGACAAACCCATGTTGGTGGACTACTGGATATGCGATGAGATCATAAATGGAGGTAGAACTAGAGAAGAAGATATAAACCAGGGTTATGGAATGATCGGTACCCTCCTTGAGGTATGTCTGTTGATCGATTGTGACTCTGGAAAGAAAGTAAAGATGCATGACGTGGTTCGTCAAATGGCTCTGTGGTCTGCGTCTCATTTTGGGAAACAAGAAGAGAATTTTGTTGTGAAAACAGGTTGTGGGCTGCCTCAGATGCCAGAGGTCAAGGACTGGAATGCCGTGAGAAGGATGTCACTGGACAATAATGAGATTCAGAACATCTCAGTCACCCCGGATTGTTCTAACCTTACGACATTGATCTTACGACATAACAAGTTGGTGAGTATCTCAGGTGATTTTTTTCTATCGATGCCTAAGTTACTGGTTTTGGATCTATCTGTGAACAAATATCTTCGCGAGTTGCCAGAAGAAATTTCAATGTTAGTGAGCTTGCGATATCTCAGCTTAGCTGCAACAAATATAAACAAGTTGCCTGCGGGAATAAGAAAATTGATCCAATTGAGATACCTTAATTTGATGGCCATAGAAAGTCATCCAAGCATCAGCGGGATATCAAGTTTAGTAAATCTGGAAACACTATACATGGATAGCTCCACTTTTTTAAGTCTTGCGTTGATAGTGGATATCATGTCACTGAAATATCTGAAAGTCTTGAGCGTCAGTATCAATAATTCTTTTGTCTTGGAATATCTTTCAATTATCCCAGAATTGGCTAGCTGTATTGAACGCATATCCCTGACAGAAGTTGAAGCAGGAAAACTCTCATTTGAAACGTTTGCGGGCCTTCGCAGTATCGTGATAGAAGATTGTTTCTTCTTCCATATAATGGAGGATACGAGAAATATAAGCTTCCAAAACCTTACGTTCGTCAAACTTACGGAGGTGAGGGGTATACAAGACTTGACTTGGTTGTTGTTTGCTCCGAATCTTATATCTCTATTCGTTGTGGGGCCATCACTGGAATTGACAGAAATAATAAGCCAAGAAAAGGTTTCTGGTATTGTGAACGAGGGATCGAGTATGAGACCCTTTGAAAATCTACATACGCTTTACTTAGCCGGCCTGGTGGAACTGAAGAGTATATACGGGGAACCTTTGGTCTTCCCCCAACTAGGTGTTTTCGTCATATCTCAGTGTCCGAATTTGAAAAAGCTTCCATTAAATGATGAGAGCGCCAACAAAAATGACATTAGACTATGGGTAGACTCACAAGAATGGTTGGATAAAGTTGAGTGGGAGGATGAAGCTACTAAAGATCGATTTGTGCGCTTGAGTGAGGTAAGCAAAAAAAAATATTCACAAAGTTTTCCAGATTATGCTTTCAATCTTCACTTCACACTCTTTTTCGATATTCTCAGTTTTTAGGGACAAAAACGCTGCAGCTGAGAGCTCGTGAGACAACATAACTCGGGGTTGCTGCTGTTTATCAGCAGCATTGAACTTGCTCTCTGGTTTTGTAATTCCTCTCTTTTAGCTAAAACTATTTCGTATTGTTGGTCTTGTCTTATCCTAAGTTTTAAGAAGACAAAAAAAAAAAAAAAATTGAAAAACAAAAACAAAGAAGAAATTTGGGAAAAAAAAAAGGTTTTAAGTTTGTGCGAAAACTTTGATGTACATGTGTGTTTTATTCGCTTGTTGAAGTTTAAAGACTAAGTGGCAAGGGCGTCAATGTGCGTGAGGATGTAAATTGTCGTTGTAAAAAAAACTTTTGAATGTGATTTGTTTGTCGTGAATGCTTACGTCGTCGCACCATGAGTACTTGCACCATTTTGAATTCCTACATCGGAAGTCGAAAGAGATCTAAAGTGATTTACTATCAAAGATCAGTAAATGTTATACTTATTTTGCAGTAATGATCGCGGGGGAGAAGATTTTAAAAAATTTTAAAGAAAAAAAATATCAAACGAAATATCATAAGAGACAACAAGTTTCAAAACAAAATTATTTTTAACAATAAATAAAGATATATTTTACAAAAAATTATGATAAAGAGACGTATTCGCTCAAATTTTTTTTAAGATTTGTATTACTATTAAAAATATTATGATGAAAAGATATGATCATAAATAAAAAATATTAAACAAAAAATTATAATGAATAGATGCAATTTTTCAATTTTCTAAACAATTATAAATATAACTATATAAATATATTCATCAAAATATTACGATAAAAAAACGGAAGATTTTAAATTGTATTAAGTTAAAAAGAGATAATCTTCGGAAAAAATTAATAAATAACCAAAATAGATAGTTATTTAGGAAAAAATAATAATGATATAGATAACAAAGTATATACATAAATGCTAAATAGCAAAAAAATGTAACTTTTTATGAAAAATATCAAACAAAAAGAAATAATAAATTTACACCAGTTTTCTAAAATATATATATAGTGTTAAAAAGACATGAAAGTTTAAATAGAAAAAACTGTTTGTAAAAACACAATTATTAGAACCAAGTGTTTGTGATGAAGAAACGAATAAAACATGGTGACAAGATAATACTCTAAATGAACAGATATAACTTTAACTAATTCTTTGTTAAAAAAAAGTTTTAGTTAATGCTCTCAAAAATGTATTACAAAGGGCAATGTTGCAACGGTTCATCAAATATACCTAAAATTGTAATAATTAATCAAA